CAGTACTGAGGGAGTGCCGCACTGTCAGAGGGTCAGTACTGAGGGAGCGCCGCACTGTCAGAGGGTCAGTAATGAGGGAGTACCACACTGTCAGAGGGTCAGTACTGAGGGAGTGTCGCACTGTTCGAGGGTCAGTGCTGAGGCAGTGCCGCTCTGTCAGAGGGTCGATGTTGAGGAAGTGCTATACTGTCAGAGGGTCAGTGCTGAGGGAGTGCCACACTGTGAGCGTCAGTACTGAGGGAGTGCTGCACTGTCAGAGGGTAAGTACTGAGGGAGTGTCACACTGTTCGTGGGTCAGTACTGACGTAGTGCCACACTGTCAGAGGGTCAGTATTGAGGCAGTGCTGTACTGTCAGAGGGTCAGTACTGAGGGAGTGCCGCACTGTCAGAGGGTCAGTACTGAGGGAGTGCCGCACTGTGAGAGGGTCCGTACTGAGGGAGTGCTGCACTGTCAGAGGGTCCGTGCTGAGGGAGTGCCGCACACTCAGAGTTTTAGTGTTGAAAGTGTAACCTGAATGAAATAACAGATTATCTGCTGTTTGATGTGAAATAAAGTGGTGTTTTGGTTTTGTTTGCCTCAAAGTTCTGGTTACATTTGAATACATTTCCTTGCTTGCAAAGGACCATGGGTCCATTTTTCGGTTGCGAAAGGCTCTTCCCCATTCGCTATTTATTTTACCTGGGTCTGCATGGTGGCTGAGTGTTTAACCTTGCTGCCTCACAGCTCCAGGTATCTGGGTTTGATTCCAGCCTTGGGTGACTGTATTTGTGGAGTTTGTACGTTCTACCTGTCTTGCGTCGGTTTTCTCCGCAACTCCCACAGTCCCAAGATATGTAGGTTAGATGGGTTGGCCATGCAAAATTGCCCATAATTTTCAGGCATGTGCAAGCTGAGAGGGTTAGCCACGGAAAATGGTGGGTTACCGGAATAGGGTAGGGGTCTGGTTCTGGCTGGGTTGGTCGGCTTTGGACGTGATGGTCCGAAGGGTCTGTTTCCATACCGTAGAGATTCTCCGTCTGTGCCTGTGTTGCTGTCTATGTTAGTGTGTGTGTGTGTGTGTGTGCGTGCGCCTGCAACACATTTTGTCTCACTTCCTCTTCCTGCGCCTGTGCCAACAACCGTATGCGTGTGTCACTTCCTGTGTAAATATCCCTCACGCTGAGCCTCCGAGGGTCAGAAAGAGAAATTAATCCCGAGGGTTATTGAGGTTAAATGTTGGTGGTTGGGAAATCCCTCCCCTTTGGGACTTGTTTTCACATTCATTGCTCCTTTATTACTTCTGTGGGACATGGGTGTTCCTCCTTGGGCCCGCATGCACTGTGAGCTGTTGCAGAGGGACGTTAACAACCTGACCCATCACCATGAGTCTGGAGTCACTCAGGGGACATTAGTGATCCAGACAGTATTTCTGAACAGCATTTGATAAACAGCTTCGAGTTGCTGGTGCAAACTTCCAACCCAAGGTTCATTAATTGAATATGAACACGGGCCCACCTGGAACGCAAGCCTGGGCTTTGGGTTATTGGCGTTAGGGCACCTTTGACCTGCTGGCCAGGTCCCTTGTTGGATGCCTGCAATGTATCCAGGGACTGTTGATAGCTTGTCCATCCTACACCCGCGCCAAGCAACTGCTGGCTTCTTGCGTAATTGGGAATTATTTTAGGGTCTAATGCCCTCCATACAGGCCCAGAGTGCGAAACGGTTGGCGGTGAACTCTGTACTCAGTCATTGCCGAGCATCGAAGCAGCCCCCAAAGCTTAGAGAGGAGTCTCGCACAGATTGGTTGCTGGGGGGTGGGGGTGGGGTTGCTTTCTTTCAGAGATTCCCGCCCATGAGGAGCGGGGGATATCTGCCTTGAGGCATCGTTGCTATCAGTGGGGTGTGAGTTCCCTGACAAAGACGGGGTTTTGACCGAGGGACCCGGGCAGTAAAACCGCCAAGGCGTCTGCCGAGGGAGGTGCCCTGTGTTTTGGAATTGATCGAATGAGCGCAAAAAAAGAGGAAGTCGGTCTCTCAGGAGGCCGGCGCTAAGAGGCCACTAAGTCAGAAGCCACCCGCAGGAGCAGGGCTCAGTGGAGCTACAGTCAGATCGGCACCTGTTGCCGCCTGTCTGTTCCTGGAAAGATGAGCCGAGGCAGGGGTGGGGGAGGAATCGTAAACCGTCCCCGTCCTTTTGGAAGCAACACATGAGGGAGCTCCGTGAAGCAACAGCAGCAGCCGACTGGGGCGGAGCGCAGCGGCGTGCCGGGATTCGGGAGGGCGGAGAGAGAGAGAAGCGGGGGCAGCGAGCAGGGACAGGCTGTTTACAGTTCACCCAAGGGGCAGAAGCCACTCGCTGAATTGTGCAACGAGATAGTACGGGAGAGGCCATTCGACCTCCGTGCGCTGGCGGCAGCTCTTCGAGAGAGCCGGAGAAAATCCTTCTCCCCTTGGACCCGCGGATATTGGCACAAATCCCCTGTGAAAGTTGGTCCCCCAACATCACACCCCACCCTCCCACCTGCCACACCCCAACCCCAGCCACCCCACCCCCATGTACGGGCAGTGAAATCCCTGATCAGCGCTGCGCAGAACCAGATTTCTCCTTCTCCTGGCCCGGCTTCTGTTGACGATTAACTCCATCTGGGAGACGGTTGCCGAGTCTGAAAAGGTGGGAGTGCATGGATCAGCCAGTCCGCAAAGGGAACCCTCCGTCAGACGGGGAGGGGAGTGAGTACCTCCACTGTGATGCGCTACAGCCCCTCACCATCGGGGAACTGGGCTCGGTACACGGGTGACGCCGGCCCGACATCTTGCCAGACTAAAGATGAACGTACTCACATCAATTGTAGCACCTCTGGCGTGGGCTGCTCCTCTCCACCTCTCTTAAGCCCGTCATCTCGTCTTCTGTTGCCTCCTCCCTCCCGGCACCCTTGCTCAGAGCCCTCCACCCCGGGGCTCGGTCATCATTGCACAACAGGGTGCCAGGTTGGGTTCCAGCTTCTGGCGTTGGCGGGGATTGAGGCGGGGGGGTGGTGGGGGTGGGTGGAAAGAGGGTAGACGATGTTGGAGTTTGGGGACAGAAGGGAACCTAACCTTTCTGCTCCACCCCGTGTTGCGTGTGTGTCTTTCTCTCTCTCTCTGTTTCTGCAGTTGGCTCTGTAGTCTTTCAGGAAATGTCTCAGTTACCACTTCCTCCTTCTGGCTCTCTGTGAAAGAGAGAGAGAGAAAGATAGAGAGGCAGATTCGCTGGCCCAATCACGCACCGCGCTCGAACGTTTTGAGAGGGAGAGCGTCGGCGCTAGGGCAAGTCAGGGAACGGAATTGTGAGGTTTGCATGGACAGACAGGGTCTGGTACGCCCTGATTCTCCTGTTCTATCCAAATTCCCAAACCTTCCTTCTTTCACGGGACTACCATCTGTGCCTATCTCATTTATTGCCCGCCCTCAGTTGCCCCTTGGAAAGGAGGTGGTGAAAGGCAGTGGTGTAGGGACACTCAACAACACCCTGAGAGAGGGAATTCCAGGATTTTGACCCAGTTACAGTGAAGCAGCCCTGATATATTTCCAGGTCAGGGATGGTGAGTGGCCTGGAGGGAAGTGTGGAGGTTGCCGTGACCACCCCCCGCGGAGTAGCACGCTGTAAATCAAGCCTCACTACTCCTAGTATCGTATCAATACCATTTTCCTTAAGATGCTCACATTGTCCCAATTTATCTGACTCTCAGACCAAGATTGTCTGAAAGCACGGACCCGAATCCTGTCCAAAACAAGAATTATCTGAGATAATCAGACTATAGCTGCAGGTAAGGAAATGTAACCCGTTCAGCATAAGAACATGAGAAACAGGAGCAGGAGTAGGCCATCTGGCCCCACGAGCCTGCTCCACCATCCAATAAGATCTTGGCTGATCTTTTTGTGAACTCAGCTCCACTCACCCACTCACCATAACTGTTAGTTCCTTTTCTGTTCAAAAATCTATCCAACTTTGCCTTAAAAACCTTCAACGAGGTAGCCTCAACTGCTTCACTGGGCAGGGAATTCCACAGATTCACAATCCTTTGGGTGAAGAAGTTCCTCCTTAATTCAGTTCCAAATCTGCTCCCCCCTTATTTTGAGGCCATGCCCCCTATTTCTAGTTTCACCCACCAGTGGAAACAACTTCCCTGCTTCTATCTTATCTATTCCCCTCATAAGCCAACCCTCTCAACTCTGGAATCAAACTCGTGAACCTCCTCTGCACCCCGCTACAGTTCCAGTCCATCCTTTCTCAATTATCGAGATCAAAACTCTACACAGTACTCCAGTGTTATATGGCATATAACACTATTAACTAAAATTCAAATCCACTTATAAACCATACATATACATAAACATGTGCACCCATACACACACACACTCACACACGCGCGCGCGCGCGCACGCACACACACACACACACATGCACACACACGCACACACAAACATACACACACACAGAAACACACACACATAAACACAAAAACACACAAGCACAAATACAGCACAAACACACAAATATACACAAACACACAAACATACACAAACACATAGACTCTCACGCACACAGACACACTCACTCAAATACACGCACAAACACACAAAAACACACACGCACAAATACACAAACACACACACACACAAACACACATGCATGGACACGAACACGCGCACACACACACACACACACACACACACACACACATGCATGCACCCCACCCACATGCATGCACACACAAACACACTACACACTCACACACATACACACACACACACACAGACACACACATTCACACAGACACATATATACTCACACAAACACACAGTCACACACACATACACACTCACACAAACACACACAATCAAACACAGACACACACACAAACACACATACACACTCACACACACATACACACTCACACAAACACAAACGCACACACACACAGA